CTTTAAACCTTGCTTAGTCATGAAATGCCATGTAGAAAACTGTAAAGCACACCTTACACATTCCATAGAGTTAGAAACACATTTATTGGAATTTTTTCCATTGTTGTAGTCCAATAACGTTTTTCTTTCATTTTTCTGTCGTTCCACACAGCTGGCAAACAATCAGCCAGATCCGTTGGTGGAGCAGCACAAGAAGGGTTGTGGCTATGTGCTGGTCAGTGCCGATTTCAATGGCGCCATCAAGGTGTTCATCAATAAAACGAAGCCCAAACACAGCAGTCTGCCCTACACGGCCATTGCGGATTAATCGAGGTGCCGTCGATATGTCAATTAGTCGCTGGCAGGCAAATGTTGGGGATCAGAAGCGGGACAGAGACGTGGGTGGGCAAACGGTAAATGTAAGGAAGGCAAAGAAAAAGCGAGGAAAGCTCTTTTTTTTCTTCTCTGTACTTGTTTTGTTTTCCCTCTCTGTGTGTATTTAATTGTATTTATGACAAATGTATATGTATTTTGTACGGATTAATTGAAATAGCATTAACGCTTATTTATATATTTAAACTATTTCGCTATCTAAGATCAGTCCGATCATGTAATGTCTTATATAGTACATATATAAACTATATGATTATAATGATTATGTGAATTGTTAATGGATATTCGAGAAGCGTCTGTATGCTTAACAAAACAAAAAACATGTTTTATAATGTTAATTATTTTCTAATGCCAATTCTGTGTGAACTGTATGTGTATGTGTGCACGTGTGTGTAAGTTTAAATTAGTTGATATTTTATTGCTTGTTATTTAAAATCAAAAATAATTGAAAGCCAATTGTATATTTTTTTATTATTATGCAAAGTAATCTTAAACCACAGAAAAACACACACGCACACGCACACGTACACTTATATGACTAATAATGATAATTAGCTTGTGGTAATTATTTAATATACTATATAACAATATGTGTAAAGTAAAGAAATGTGCAGCTCCCTTGGGGTATGCCAATTGTGCACTTAACTAAAGTTTTTGCCGGCATTTTTGATATGGGCACGTGGCAACTGATACAGCCTACAATCCATATATAGCATATATAGCTTCGTGGGACAAGTCAATAGTTGAGTCGATTCGGCAGTCTACGAATGTATTCGACAGAGATACAACTACATTATACATTATGACTGGGAATTTTTCAGGCTGTACTCGTTTAAGTTGATTAAAGTCGAATTCATGCTACTGATAATTGGAGCGATCGATGGAAAATTATACAACGTCCACATTTAGTAAACTTGCAAATTTTTTAATTTAAATATGTTTTGGATTATAAATATTTTATTTTATTTACAATTTTTTTTTTTGTTTGGAAAAATATAAATTCATAAATTTCTAAAGATTGCAAGTGTTGAGTCACATAATGCTTGTAAAAAGGGTATTTTAAGTCGACTTTGCGAAGTTAATTATGATTTCGTCTTGCTATTGATTTTGCACGTTCCCCAGCATGCGGTATTAGAAGCGGTTGTTGAAGTGCTTCGCCAGTAAAGCAGAAGGAAGGATTAGAAGTGGCTCTCGGGAGTGTGGCTGGCGACGACAGCTATTTAGCGTAAGTTTAACCTTCATTGTTGGGGCTTCCTAATGGCCGAAGGGTGCGTTCGAGGCACTCAAGTGTGTGTGTATGCGTGTGTGAGGGATAATCCTTTGTGTGTGATTTAAAAAATGGAATGTTTTTTGAGTCAATTGTGTTGGGCATGCTCGGTAAGTGTAATTGCAGCTGGTGCTTTGCCAATTCCCGACTGCGACAAATACTCCAGACTGGCCCAAACAATGCCGGCAATATAAACATAGAAATATATATCTCTATATATTTATATATGTGAATATGTATACATACAAGTGTTGCACCAAATGAGCGAAACATAAAGAAAATCAACAAAAAGTGTCGGCAAATGAAAATGGGAGAGGCTTCGGTTCCCTACTTCATTTTTTTTGGCCGGAAGAGGCGACTTCCTGAGTGCCATGGAAATCATTTGAAGTGCCTGGCTGAAGAGGGGGCTTCCCCGGCTAGCGGCTAACGGCTAGGCGAATTCTTATTTGGGGCGGTTCTGTGTGCTGTGGGTTGATTTCTAATATAAAGGCAAATACAAATACAAATACAAATACGTTCACAACAACCCCAAAAGAGGAGCAAGATTTATATGTAAGGCGGAGTTTTAGAGTTCCTTGAGTATATACTTAATCTATGTACGTATACTTAATGTATCTGTGCCGACTTGCATTTGTCTGCAGTCAGCTGCGGACGGCTAAAATAATTGTTTAGTCAGACAGCAAAGTCACTCGAAAGACGATTAGCGTTTATGTTCTTTTTGGCGTCTCTTGCAACATGCAATCAATAAAGATTTACGTAGTTGTTGAGCAGGATAGGTTTGAGGGTTGAGGCGTGGAGCATAGCGTGGCAATGCGGCAACAACAGCTGTTGCAATGGTTGGGCGGCCGGTCGACCACAGCAGCCAGACGCCGGCGCCGGCCCTCAGCAGACCCGTTCCAAATGCCAATCAATGCACTTTTGGCCATGTGCCAAGTTACTCTTTACATAAGAGAGAGAGATAGGGAGAGAGAGCAGTAGTTTTTAGCTGCGTTACCCACAGCTACTCTTAAATAACAGCTGAAGAGAGCTATAGAGAACCGTCTGGCTGCTCGACACTCAACAACAATATTAATCATGCCTAAGCCTAAGTTGCTTAGTTGTCACGGTTAGTTCATTTTAAGATTCAACATTTATTTTCCATTTAGTAAAATTCGCTTTAAGAAGCTAGAAACTGTTTTGCTGTTAATTAACATTGTACATTAACAGCGAGCTTAAAGTATTAAGAGAGCAGTCACGCTAAGGCTTTAACAGCAAACATATGAATAGAGATGTCGCGTGAGTTTGTCGTGGGTAAGCGTATCGTGAGTTTGCGTTGAGCATGCTCAAGTCAAACTTGAGGGAGCGTAAAAAGAGAATAAACTGCAAAGCAAGGTAAGACAATATGTATAGAATATAATATAAATACAAATATATAATAAAATAGCTCCAAAATAGAGTTCGTGATGCGCGGCTAATATGAATGTTTTTGTCACGCGCACATCAGTGGCATTCACACACTGACGCACCCACTCACACACACAGTCAAATTTGTAAACACACAATGCGCCGAGATTGAGCAAGGTGCGCTTAGCTCTTACATTGCTCTCAGTTTATTTCTGACTCTCGTGCAAAGCGCAACGTCGAAACGGACGGCTCGTATGGTCGCTCGGTCGCTAATGTTGTGTGCGTGTGTGAGTTCGGTGTCCGTTTTCGGTGTCGGTGTTTTTTCGTGTGTGTTTTTCGGTGCTTGACAAATGCAATACAAATGCAAATGCAGTGTAACTAATTTACATAAATATATATATAAATATTTTTAACAATTTTTGAAATAAGAATTTTTTGGTCAAAAATAGCCATGCATCATGCATGTGCGTGCAGGGTCTCTGTGTGCGTGTGTGTTGCATCGAATGCTTGCGTCTGTGTGGGTGGATGATATTCTTTGGACCTGTGTGCAGCGCCTTAGCACTTAATTAAATTAAACAAAATTTAAATGAAATGAGCCCAATCAAGCGAAAGCTCAAAGTGCAAGCTGTACGCACGCGTGTGTGTGTGTGAGTGTGTTCCTTAGTAAATAAGACGCTTATTGTTGCAGTAAAGCCAACTGCTCACCGCATAACAGTTTTTATCGACCAACAACATATCGGTTATCGTAGATCGATCGATTTGCCATGACCCCAAATCGAGACTCTAAATTCTTTGCGCTAATCAACACTTGTTAAACGAAGAATCAAAAACTGTCGCTTTTCATGTCTTTGATTAAAACTAAATGAAATTAGTAACAAACTCGTTTTCGTGCATAATTCTTTACAGTCTCAAGCTTTTAACGTTTTGTTTGTATTCTTTTCAATTCTTTTTAATTTTTATTTACTTTTAACTGCCGCGATTTCCATATTAAATTGCTAATTATGCATTTTCTTTTTACGGTTTTTTTTTTCGCGGCGTAACACAGTGCCTGAAAATGCACGAAAATCCAATTCTGAAATCGTTTTTTAATGATCATTCGTTAGTTTTTCCTTCATTATACGAACAATTTGCTGCGGCTCAAACGCTTCATTAATTTACAATTTATTCTGGGCACATTTGCTGTTCGGCTTTTTATCGTTTGTATGTGCCTTTTGGCTTAATTAAGCTTTCTAACAGCTTAACTTAATTATGACGTGTTGTTTTTTGTTGATTCGCCCGCAACAAGACACAAAAATCGTGCAAAAGCTACAGATGAATTTAATAGAAACGAAAGACTATTTAAAAGACTTTCAAAACATTAAAATTTAATAATCTTGTTAAAAAATATATTAAAAAAAAAAAATAAGCAAATTAATGAATTTAACAGTGATCGTTCGAAAATTAAATATAATGAATTTAGTTATTCCAAATGTTAAGGAAAATTATTTAAAAATTATTTAAATATTAAATTACTTTTTCTTAAATAATTGAAAAATTTTAATAAAAATGAATGAATTTCTAAATTCTAGCTTACGTAAAGTTAACAATTTTCGAACAAACACTGTACGCTATATATGAAATATTAAAAACCAAAACCCTTTCACTTCAAAACTCACAGAGAATTCAAAGTGCAACAAAAACAACAACGAGCTAAAACCAGTTTCAATAAGCCAATAAACCAATAAGCAATAAGCCAAACCAAATACAACAGCAACAACAGCAATAGCAACACTTAAAGAGCAACTAGGCCCGTTAGTGCGCCGCCGTGGCCTATATTCAAAATAGATCAGCCGCAGTCTCAGTTGCTGCCGCCGTCGCAGTCGCAGTCGCAGTGTCAGTTGCCATCGCCATCGCAGCAGCCATCGCAGTTGCAGTCAAAATGCTAAAAACAACATCAACAACAACAACGACAACGACAACAGCAGCATCAGCCGCCGCCGTCGCTTGAGAACGCAACTAAAAACAAGTTTTATGCTAAATAATAATAAATAAATAAATAAACGCATCGCAATACCAAAATACAAAGTCGAAGAAGTCGAAAAGGTGCAAGAAAAAAAAACAAGTCAGAACGTGGCCAGCGACAGGAGTCGACCTGGCAAATACCCTGTGCATAGTGCAAAAGAGAAAAGCAGTTGAGAGCACATTTTTGTATCTTGACTCTAAAACTGTAAAAGCAGTAGCCCTCAAACTTATATTCAATTAACTCTTGACAAATTCGCCACAAGAACATTGGGCTTCACATACCCCCTTGGCACACTCGTGTTTAGGGTATAAAAAGTGACCTACAAATACGGGTTTTGCGCCGCGCAGCCAATAACAGCGACAACGCGTGAGAACTGAGAAGTAAATGGCAGCAGCAGCAGCAGCAACAACAACAAACGAAATGCAGGCAACACTTGCGGTTAAGCGGCCCGGTCCGCCAGTGCCGCCCAGGCCCAAAACAGCAACAGCAACAGCAGCAGCGGCAGGAGCTGGGACCGTGGCAACTGCCACGCCCTGCCCGCCGCTCATACAAAAGAAGCCCACATTTGTTAGCCAACTGAGCGCCGTGGGACGCACCTTGGTATACAAGTCGCCCTCGCTGAATCTGCAAAAGAAGCAGGCGCAAACACAGACGCCCACCATGGCGCTAGTGAACAGTGCAACGGCAACAGCTGCAGCAGCAGCAACAACAGTTGGTCCAGCAACAACAACAGCAGCACCAACAACCCCGCCTGCTGCACCCGCAACGGCGCCCAAGCCGCCGCTTAAGCTACGCAAAGCGCCCGCTGTGCCCACAGCCAAACCTCGCGAATCGGTTGTCAGCGTGAATCGCGCCAATAGCCTGAGCGCACAGACCACGCCGCCACACAAGGACACGCGCCTGAGCCTGGGCAAGGTGGATTTCGAGCGAGCAGGTCTATTGCCCGCTGCACAGCCGCTGCCCAAGCCGCGGAAGATTGTCCAGATGCCGGTGGCTACTTTGGATGTGGAGGATGCGCCCGTGAGCAGCATCTTCAGGCGCTCGAAGACAACGCTGGACAGTCCGCTGTCCAGTCAGGGTGGCGGAGGCAGCTATTTGGGCGGCAAAACCGTTGAGTTCAAGAATAATCTTAAGAATGCTGCCGAGCGTTTGTTCTCTGAGATCATCATTAGCCAAACGCAAAAGCAAACTCTGGCCGACACGACCATTATAACCAAGCATGAGCGCGCCATACAGCATCAAGCACTGTTGGAGCAGGAGCTGGCCCAGGAGCGTCACAAGCGACAGCAGCAGAAGCAGCAACAGCAGCAGCAGCAGCTGGAGCGGGAAAGGAAACAGGAGCTGGAGCAGGAACAGTTGAGCCAGGTGATTCAGGCAGCAGGCAACTGCACGCGCATCAACATAAATGCCAGCAACAGCCAGGCCCAAACCCAGCCCAAATCGAAGCCAATCAAGAGTTCGGTCAGTGCGGGCAATACGCCCGAGAAGAAGCATGCCTTCCATGAGCTGCTCATCTCGGAGCTGGCGGCTATGCGCAATCGTGCCTGCTCGCTGGAACAGTTGCCCACTAAGTGGCAGGCCACGCCCACTAAGACGCGTCAGCGCTATAATTCGATTGAGGACGCCGATACGGAGGATGTGGACGCTGATAATGTGGAAGATGCCGATGGCGATGAGGAGGACGACACACTGACCTATGCCGTCAATAAATCACTGAAGGATAATGCGAATGGCAGCTCGACGCCACGCAAACGTTGCCCCTCCGGCTGCTCCTCGGACTCGTCGCCTTATGGAACAGAGCGCTCGCAGCGCATACGTACGTCCGATTGGATTGAGGTGGGGGATAATGGCAAGCAGGTGACACTCACCAGCTGTCACATTAGCCTGGAGGACTCGGGCATGGAGGACGAGGAGCGACTGGATGATATGTCATCATCGGGCGTCGGCGATAGCTGGGACAGCGTCAAGGAGGCTGAGCGAGAGAACGAGAAGCGAAGTCGCAATGTCAAACGGTGAGTCAGCGATTTACAAATTCTTGCCGAGCTATTTACGACTATATACTATAGAGCCAACTGCAATATGATGATATAATGGGTTATTTTTGGGTTATTTTTGGTAGATTTCATGCATCAACTGAGTTCATCACAGAATTATTAGAGATTGAATATGAAAAACTATAATATATATGGGCTATAAAACTAGAGATGAAATATTACAAAATATATTATATATAAGCTATAAAATATAATGACATAATATTTTTTTAGGAATTTTATAATATTTTATCTAATATGTAATACACAATTTGTATTCTATATAATTGGAATTGGGTTTTGCCATGTTCCTATGACACTAAATGTTTGCTAATTTAATCTACGATCAATTTTATTGTTGCATTTCTAGTAGATGCATGCATTAGCGGGGAAGTTTTCATTTCAGCTTGGAATGCGAAAATTGTGCACCTGAATATTCCCAATATTATCGTGTCACTTACAGCAACTATAAAATATATACATTATGACGATATACTAGCTTATATATTATTTACTTTACTTGTGCTCGCTCTTCAAATTTCAGTTTGAATAAATACAGTAGTTCATCGATAAATGAAACAGTTGAATTCCTTGATAAGTCTGTTACCATGGAGACTTAAGCAAGCCAATGTGACTCACTCGAAACGTAACAAATCTTTGTTCTCATTAACAATAATCTGTTTGTTCAGGGACAACTAGCTTTATCGAGTGAGTAAAACTGGTTATTTGAATGTTCATGGCAGATATATAGTAGAATGCATATAGAATGATGATAGAATTTTATAAAATATATTTCTTTTTAAAGATCTTATTGTAGCCCAAGCCACCCGGTTACGTAATATTATTGTTTACAAATTTGTTTATTGTCTAGTATAAGACAGATTACAAATAAAAACAGCAATTAAAAATAATTTTTAAAGATTATTAATATTTATTATATTAATTTTTGTTATATATTTTTCTATAGCTCAAACTCAAACCGTGCCTTTGCTGCATTCGCTAAGCATTATTCTGTATAAGATATTTGAATTATAAGCATTTACGTGACCTTTTCAGGAACTCACAGTAAATAAAATACCCCGAATTGCTCAGATACATACATAGATACACACATATATATTGTTTTCTGTTTGAGGTTTGCCTGCATTTCCATTGATTAGTTTCTGAGAAATGCTGTCAAATGCCATGAAAATTCCTGTTGACAGGACAAATGTAGTGGAAAAGTGAACGTCGTCTCACTGTGGTCCATATACTTGGACCAGTCCCTGTTTTTTTTCTATTAAAGGGCAAAAGGGCACGTGCAGAGGGCTGAGCGCAGGATAATGCTCATTGTCGACGTCATTTTCCTTAATTAGTTGCGGCTGCTGTCAACCCTATTGACAGACCCTTTTTGCTACCCTCTAACTACCCGCGCCTGTCTATCTATGACCCTGCCGAAAGGTCGTAAAAATGTTTTTGCCACTTGCATTATCAACAAAACGTCGAAAATATTTATATGTTATTTTCGAATTGAATTGGTTGGGTATGTCCGGCTAGAGGATAACTTGAAGTTTGAATGAATCTGCTTGTAGATCTAAATGTAGATTCGAAATGGAAGGATAAGAGAAGAGAGCGAGCAAGACAGACAGATGGAGAGAGTGGAAGCGATTGACTCAGCATGTCCACTGATTAAGATTCAGAAAGGCTTCGTATCTTCCTGTAACTTACATCAATCCCTGTCGCAGCCCTTTACAAATGGTAAGGGGTATCGAAATCAATAAATACCACAGCGAGCAACAGGAAGAGGCGATAAGATAAGAACGTTGAGGTACACAGATCGAGCGAATAACTGTTGCCTGCCTCTGTCTGCGTTTGTTTACCTGTTGTAGGGCTGGCTCTGACTACTGACTGCCGAGTGGCGACGGCGGCTGTGGCAGTGGGCGTGGCTGGTGCTTGCAAATTCACAACATGTGTAATTTTATTTATGCGCTTACCGCAATTATTTCACCGAGTTTCACTGCGCTGACACGCTTTACATGCCCTGGGCCAGCACTTGAGATAGCTCGTATCTCACAGATACATTCATGCATTGTCTTTTGTCTTTGGCTGTGCGCTCATGCAAATTGTTCGGGTTCTCTTTTCAGTTTTTTTCCTTCTGTGTTTAGACTTAGATGCGGTTTGAACAGCTTTGCCTGGTTTATTTATGCTTTTTTCATGTTCGTTTTTTTTCTTCGCTTTATTTTGATAAATTATTGCTGACACCATTTCAAAGGTGTTGTTGTTGCTGCTGCCACTGGTGCTGCGGCACGTTGCATGCGCGCGCATTACGCTCGATTGCAGTTGCTGCAACTGCAACTGCAACATCTTGCAATATTTAACAACAACTGTCTGGCCAAGTTAGCGTCTACTTATGTCTCCTCTCTATAAGCAAACACTAGTAAGTTTACTATATATATATGTATTTGTATATACTATATATTTACACTCATATTTATACAAATATGTTGTATGCATTTAATTTTTCATAAATGCTTATTTCAACAAATCCAAACTCGTTTTCCAGCCACTGTGCGATATTCAAAGCGTTGTTATTATAACTGCGCATATAACACAGCAACTCTGTTTAATACACGAGGGTTGTAACAGGGTTTTATTAAAAACCTGATTGTAAATTATGATTACATTGCAATTGGCACAAAGAACTAGAAAGTGAAATGCATATTAATGCTGTTATCATAAATATATCACAGTGTAGATCAAGGTACAATTAATCCAACGAAAATTGAGTTAAAATTCTTACGTGGGCTCTCATTGCTAAGTTTTTGATATAAGACATCGTAAGTAACGCTCATCGATTGATAGATTAATTTATTTAATTCATTTATAACTTGTTTTTCTTTGTGAGTTTTTTTTTGGAAAGTTTCATTCATGAAAATTCAAACTTTTTTCATCAGAGTTTTCTTAGAAATTTATTAGTTTTTTTTGGGTTTGAATAATTTTAATATTTAATATATAATTTATTACATATTTATATTGTTTTTACTCTTAACTTTTAGATATAATATATATATATATTTTTTTTCATGACAACTGAAACGTTTTGCATCAGGGTTTTTTAAATAAATATATTTAAATAAATATATTTAGAATTTTTATTGCTTTTGAAAACTTTTTATATAGTTTAATATCTAATTTATTACATATTTTTTGAAATATTTTTTAAATTCTTAGCTGAAGCTAACAATTATTTTTTGAAAATATGTATTATAATATATATGTATTCCCTATTCCACCCTCGCGCTTATGAGCTCTCTGAATATTGCAAGACGTGTTTGCGGTGTGCTCAACGCTGATTATCGTGACTCACATTGTTTGGCATTTGCTGCTGATCACACACACACACACACCAATACCTCTATATGTATATATGGTATATTCAATATAAATGCAAATACAATTCGTACGATCGTAAAAACTCATACGCAAAGCTCTTATATGCGGGTCGCGAAGCTTGTGAAACTCGCCCAAGCGTAGCGTCTCCCAGCGAGTCTTTATCTATCTGTCTCTCAGTCTGTCTCTGTCTTGCTCTCTATATTGATTAGTCATACGGTTTACGTGCGACGCAATGAGCCAAATGCAATAGTAGTTAACTTCTTCCCAGACGCACACACACACGCACACACACACTCAGACAATTATGTTTTCTTAGCATGTTCAGAAAACTTGACACCTAGAGAAAGCTGTGAAAATCTTTATAGAACTCGCCAATGAATCAGCCGATCAATTCGCACGCACACGCCACTTCTATAGTTGATTATGTTTTTTATGAGTAATACTATTCCCGATTCGCATAGAACTGTTATTCCAACGAAGCGCTAAAAAAAAATTAAGCGCATTTCTCTAAAAACATGTTTCGAATGCGAACTACAAATTTTTTAAAGAAATTACTTCTTTCCTCTTATGTTATGCGCTCATATGGAAGTCTATAGATTTTTAGATATTGAAAAGATATTTTTGTATTTATAGTTTAAAATTAGCGGATGTGATTTGTTTATGATTGGTTTTATATGCATTTAATGAGCACTAAAAAATTGATTGATTTTTCCTTTTTTGGGCTCGGCTTGCGTGTTTCCATTTTAACACAAGTCCATCAAGTTGAGTATCGGAATTGTAACTGAATGTGCTTAAAATATTTGAAGTAATATAGACGTGGTATTAGACTACCAAACGGCGGCTCCCATTGCGTTAAGGTATTGATGTATTATTTAAGCTAAATAGCATATAAGCCAAGCTCAATAATATAATCCAAATAAATAATATAATAAAAATATATTGGTATTAGTATCACTTAACAGTACAGGTATGCATATGCTATAATTATTATATTGCAATGTTATTCAGTTTTTTATAAATAGTTTATGTACCCAGCTTAAGGCATTAGCTAACAATTCATTTGTTATCTCAAACTTTTCAATTAAAAGTTTATTAAATATTTATATTTGTAATGTAAAAACAGAATATAATATAAAGTTTTTTTATTAAACAAAGTTTACTAATTTTAATGAAATAATTACTTGAACATTTAAATATTATGCAATCGGCTGCATGCGCAGAATTTATTCATTTATAATGATTGAAATTAATTTGATTGTTTTTTAATTATAGCCCCATTATTCTAACTTTTCAAACCCGCTATCTTCACATAAATATGTTATATATATCTGAATAAAATACCAATTGGCTGCCAATAGGGCGCTCTAATTGACTTGTTAATAAAACTTACTTATAGCTACGCCGCAGACTGTCCGTGAAAGCTTTTCTATGGTCGCTCAGAAACCAATTATCCGTCCTCACATAGCAAATCAATTTGTGAGGCAACAAAAAAGATAAAAAAAAAACAAAATACTTTTGTACATATGTGCAAGTGGAGGAAAAACTTTTGATGTGCTTCTTTTGTATCGCTTTCCGATGCAATTTCCTTGTGGCTTCCTTCTCTCTAC